TAATAATACATCCAGAGTGACTAACTATAACTAGCCATGCTACTAACTTTTCTAGTTGAGGCACTATTGCAAAATAATGTAGCTTTTCAGTGACAAGGGACTTTATCCCACAACTAGTGGTGTAACAAAATGCTACATTTCTGTTTTTGTCACACGGTATCAGCGAGCTCTGAAAATACTTGAAACATACTCCTACATGTCCTCTCAAATGTAGGAAGTCTGATTTATTTTAATAAACGTAGATGTCAGTAAATGGACTATAAATGTAAACAAACTGGTTCCAAAAAGAATTAGTGATTCACTGATAAACTGAACCATATCGAGAACAAATCCTCAGTAACTGTTGAAGATCAGCACTGTATGGACAAAAGATCACCAGATCATCTGCATACATCAAATGGTTTATAATGGTATGATCAACCATACAACCTGTTCTACAACCATTTAACAGCTTTGATAAATCATCCATATAAACATTAAATAAAAAGGGAGACAAAATGCTTCCCTGTCTGCCTCCATTAACATACACTGAATGGAGCAGACACACAATTACCCCATTTTACATACATTCATTGATGAGCATACCAAAAAGCCAAAATTCTCACTAAAAATTTGGGAACTCTTCTATTGTAAAACTTCAAAAATAACTTTTCATGATTTACACGATCAAAGGCTTTAGAAGCATCAATAAAACACATAAAAATTGTGGAATTATGCCGGTTATAAAAATCTAAAATCTCCTTTAGAGCAAAAAAACACACATCAGTGCCATGTTTCGGTATTAAAACCAAACTGGTTATCAGAAGTCAGGGCATTATCTTGAATAAAGGACATAACACAAGCCAACCTGTTAAGGTATTCATATTCATTCTGGGGACTCTCATAAGGTGTATAAATGTTCAGAATGATGAACTTTTTCCCAGCACCACTGAATTCAATTCCTATAGCCCAATCAACATCCAGTCTAACCACATTAACTAGTTGGTCAAACTTTTTGTGCCATAATACTGCAACACCATCGGGTATCCTACCTTGAACTATTTTAGTGCTCAGGTCAGTGGTAGATTCACCCGCCCCATAGAAGTCTTTATGTATAGAATTCAGACTTTCCAAGTCCTGCTTAGGTAAGAAAGTCTCTTGGACACACAAAACGTCACAGGACTCCAATAGTTTATCCACCACAAACTGGCGTGATTTATCTGCATCACTATGGCCAACACGCAGTCCTCAAGCATTATATGACATGATATTGATCTTCATTTAGTTCAGTTTATCCCAAGCAGCCACAAAGCTACTGCTCTTTTGCAAGCCTACAGATGTAATGTCAGGTACTGGCCGATGTTCTTGCAAGTCAGTCCCCCTCCTGATCCGAGGGCCGCACCGTCACTGTTTACTCTAGGTTTACGAGCCTCAAAATAACGGCGAACATAAATCCCCGCCGGCCAAAGTTGTGGGGCATACATGTCTGCTATTTCATTACACTCAGCAGTAACATGAAACAAACTGAATCTGTTGCGGGTTGAATCAATCTTCGACATGTAACCGGTTTACCCATTCTCTCAGTCAAATAGGAGCAGAGCGTGTCAGCGTCAAGACTAGGGGAAAATCTAGTTGCAAACACACTCACCAGTTTAGTTTTGACCACTGGAATGTTGCTCTTTATAAATTGTATTAAATGAGCTGTTTATTAATTTACTGTAAATTAATTCGTTAATAATAATAATACTTAAATTAATTAGCAGTTTAATTAATTAGTGGTTTAATGATGTTATCCTAACTGACACCCTTAGTTTCCCTGTGCTAGACAAATATCACTCAGGTTGACTATTTAGTTGACTATATAGTTAAATAAATGTATTTTATTTATACATATATAAATACATTATGTATTATGTATATTGACTATAGAGTGACTTTGTGCTATAACAATAGATTTATGATCCAGATAGTTGCTACTTTCAGCTACTTTGTCCTTCTTATAGTGTAGCTAAGTACCAGTAGTGTGTACATCTACAGTTTCCCAAGACTAATTACATTTAATCAAAAATATGATTTTCTAAATACAACAGAGCCACATATTCATATTCAAAAAGCTTCAACCTCCCAGTATACGGATCACATTCTGGAAAAATCATAGCAAATGGCTGGTTGTTTTCAACAGGCCATGTGCTTTAAATAAATACACCTTAAACCTGGTTGAGCAACAGACGGCAGAGAGCGGGAAAGAGCTATAATGGGTGGGATGGGTCGGTCCGTCAAATCTACCAATGGCCAGAAGCAAGCGGCTTAAGGAGGGGGTGGTGACGGTGACGGGATCCAGTGACACAAGTTCTGTTTCCACACTGCCCTAGTTTCCTGCACGTCTTGTGCCTCAGCTAAATCAAATCCTTTGATTTGATTGGATTTCTACTTCTTCTCCTAAAGGGTCTAGGCGTGCTTATGTGTGCACATGTGTGAATGAGGCGCTGGCATAGGCGGAAATCCCGGGGGGGTCGGGGGGGACAGGACCCCCCCCCATCTGAAGTTGTCCAACCAAAAAATATGATTAAAAACCACGCTGTGTATGATGATGAACATCAACGGACCCCCTACTTCCAAGTTTGATCCTAGAAAGTATACAAGGACCTGGTTGAAGAGCCACCGTGCTGCCTCGTCTGTGTGTTCTAGACAATGCAGTGTGAAAACTCCAGCAGAGAGCAAGTCTGTCTGGAATATACTGTAGTACAGGGGTAGACAGGCTGTTTATAGGCTTAAAAACCTACACTGACAGTACATTTTGTGTTCAGAATCAGTTATTTCATAGTATTTCAAGCCATAGGCGGAAATCCCGGGGGGGACTGGGGGGACAGGACCCCCCATCTGAGGGTTGTCCCTTCTAAAAATATGATTAAAAACCACGCTGTGTATTGTAAATAACAATGTTTTATACTTCAAATAACTTTGTAAGTAGTAAAACAACAAAACGCAAACAGGGCAAAAATGCGTTTTAAGTTTAGAAACATTTTGAGTCTCCCCCTCCCTTGCCTCACAGTGCTTTGGTCCAAATGCCTGCTTTCCTCTTTTACATCACC